AACAACACAAGGAATGATTATTAAATTGGCATCTAACAATTCCATCCAACACCCCAAAAAGTATTGACTGCTGGCTTTCAGAGTGTCAATGTTGAGTTGTTTTAATATATCAGACCAAACCCTTTGGGAGAAACTACAAGAAAAGAACAAGTGATCCAGACTTTTTTCAGCTTTACTGCACAGATGATAGCAAGAGGGTCCCTTAAGCCCTTTCATCTTAAAAATGTCATCAGTAGGAAGTAAGGATTTCTATAACCTCCAGCAGAAAAAGGACATGGAAGGTGTTAGCCACTTCCCCCAAATCAATTTACCCCACTTGACAGGTTGTCATTCATATAACTGTTGGAAGATAAAGGCAGACATTTTTTGTGAGGAAGCCTGTCTAGTAATGAGTCTATCTTTTTGCCCAGGATTGATTTTTGTTTTCTTTACCCAATGTTTTTGCTCTTCAATTAGGATGGTAGCCAATAGGTTTCCTTCACTTTTGTCATTGTGTTAAGATTGGAGGTATATTGTCTCTCCCCATTCCACACCCAATTATCCAACTAGAAATTAACTTGGCCTTCACCAAGCTCCCAGATAAACAGATCCTCAGCTTTATTTCTAATCTCCAAAAGCTTTGACCACAGCTTGGAATCACCCACCTTCTTCTGAGCCATAATAGGATGAACTATCCTACAATACTTTACCTTCATAAACATAGCTCAAAGACTATCTTGTGCTCTAAACTTTATCCATAGTTTGCATAGGTTGATGATACTGAGTTGCTGAAAATCTTTAAAGCCTAAACCTCCAGCACTTAAGGGTTTACATAGTTTATTCCAAGCTAACCAATGGAATTGTTTTTTTTTTGTCCAACCCACAAAAATTTGTTGAAAATTCTGCCCGGCCTTATCTGAGTTCCTTTCTTCATGGTAAACATTTGAAGAGCATAAGATGGAATGGAAGTTAGGATACTTTTAAGGAGGGTGATTCTGCCTCCATTAGAGAGGAAGTAATTAGTCCAATATTGCAGCTTTTTTTGAATTTGGTCAATAACCCCATTGAATTGAGTTTGCTTGGTTCTCCCTTTGATTAATTGGACACCAAGTTAGTTGATTGGTAGAGAAGCTTTGCTGAAACCAGTATGCTGAGCAATCCATTGCTTAATCTGTGGAAGAGTGTTTGAGCTAGTAAAGAAATGACATTTTTGTTTATTAAGATGCATACCATAGATGATTTGGAAGTGAGTAAGTCCTTGGTAAAGAGCCTTCACAGCAGTCTTGGTAGCTTTCGAGAAAATAATAATATCATCAACATATGACAGATGACTCACCCCAATGTTGGATCTATGTTGACAAGTCAAGTGAGGAGAAGAGGAAAACATTTGATTTAGAAGCCTAGAAAGATAATCCATAGCAAGAATGAAGATTGTATGAGACAATGGATCTCCTTGTTTAATTCCCATAGAGGCAGTGAAGAACCCTTGGCTTTTACAATTGATTAAAATAGAGTGATTGTTAATACAAAGCCACCTTCTTACCAAATTTATAAAGGCCCAGAGAAACCTCTAGCATTTAGAGTTTCCAAGATAAAATTCCAATTGATAGTATCATAGGCTTTCTAGATATCTAATTTCAGAATGAGATTATTGCCTCTGTACATTTTTTGTCAAGGTCCAGCAACAACTCCTGTGCCAAGAGAATATTATCAGAGATTTGTCTCCCTTTCACAAATGCTACCTAGTTATTACAGATAAGTTGCTGGAGGTGAGTTTGGAGCCTGTTGTTAATAACCTTGCTGATAACTTTTGACAGGACATTTGTTAGACTAATAGGTCTGAAGTCTCCCCACTCAATCCTAATAGAATTTTTGGGAATCAAAGTTATAGTGGAAGCAGTGAAATACTTATGGGGATCTATACCTTTAAAGAAGCTTTACACAGCATCAACAACCTCCTCACTGATGATATTCCAAGAAGTCTTATAGAATTTGGCAGTAAAGCCATCAGGGCCAGCCACCTTATTGTCATCAATAGAGTCCAATGCAGCTTTAATTTCCCCTTCCATAGGAATCTGATTAAGGTCCAGGCTTTGAACATAATCAATGCACTCAGAGAAAAGTTCCACCTTGATAGGAGCTCTCTCAGTAGACTGATCCATAAAGATATTTTGAAAATAATTAACAACATCAATGGCAATATTCTCAGCATCAGTTAATACCTTACCATGAGAATCATTTATGGAAAGGATCATGTTATTCTTCCTTCTGAAATTAATACAAGCATGATAATAGCTTGTGTTTCTGTCTCCCTCGATAAATCTAGTGACTGCAGCTTTTTGTTTCAGAAAACATTTTGTATAATTGGTTTGCATTAACAGTTCTTCACTGGCTTTGTGCAGGTCAGCTTCAGAATTCAATCCCATTTGAAAATTCTTTTCCCTTCTGATAACATTACTTTGGGCAGTGGACAAGTTTTCATTAATATTGCCAAATGTTTCCCTATTCCACTTCTTTATATGAGCAGCCACTATCTTCTGAAGAATCCACAGCTTTAACCAGGGATTAGAGTTCCCTTCTGCCCTCCAAACCTTATAAACTTCTTCAACAAAAAGAGGATGAACAGTCCACATGTTTTGGAATTTGAAAGGAGCTTTATTTGGCTTTTTAGTATTTTGGATAGTACATAACAGTGGACTGTGTTCAGAATATGCCATAGCCAAATGAGTAATGATAGTGCAAGGGAAGGTCTGAACCCATTTAGAGTTACCCATCATTCTATCTAGCCTCTCCCACATGGCACCTCTTCTCCAAGTGAAGTCTGGCCCTTGATACCCCAAATCAAACAACTCAGCCTCAGAGAGAAAATCATTGAACCTGTTTATTGCAGAGACAATAGGTGGTCTACCACCTTTTCTTTCACCAAGAGAGGAAAGACAGTTTAAGTCGCCCCCCAAAATCCAAAAAGAGTTTACTGCTTGTCCAATATGAGTCAACTCATTCCATAAGGTGGCTTGGTTGTTGGCAAGGCTACAGGCATAAATGAAGGTGGCATAGCCAACTTGAGCTCCAATATAGAATTGGATGTGAATAAACTGAGAATTATTTATATATATATATATCACCAAAAGCTAATGAAAAATTCATGCAGAAAATTCTTATATTATTTGAGTTTACTTATACCGTTTATTATTTAGATCCAACTGATTGCTACATCTAGGTTAAACGAAAAGGGGATACTCGTGCTCCTTCCTAAGAAAAACTCTATTAAATAAGTTGGGGTTTTGTTAGTTGGAAATTCAAATAAAATTTAATTATTTCCTCAGGTTATGTCAATCAAATCAATCAACAATTTCTTATTGTTCCAGCAAAATTTCAAAATGAAGAGAGAGGGAGAGTTTGAAGTGAGGGTAAAGACATCTTCGTCGTTGACGTCATGTATTTTTGTAAATCTTTGTCGTTGACATCATGTAGTTTTGGACTATTATGCTTTAGCCTTGACGGAGATGATAAACCTCAATCTTGGTTGAGATAAGCTGTCACTATTAACATCAATGATGAGCATCATATGCAAGTATATAATAACGCTATGGATTTTCTCTATTGAAATCTTTCTTATGGCCTTAACGCTGCCTCTTAAAATGTGCGGGATATATATTTATTTGAAATTTTTTGAAGCACATTATGAACTTTTTAAATATAAATCAAAACACTTCATCAAACTCACCTGTTCACATAATGTATTTTAGAACATGAAAGTCATAATAATATCAAAACTGAGTGATCCAGTCCTTGCCATGTTCGTCTTCATTAACAAAATGTTTCAATTGTAAATTTGTTAAATATAGAGTTTGGATGCCATACAGTCAATTCAAAAATAATATCAGTTAATAATTTGCTAATTGTAAATTGCGTCAAATTAATTCATGCTTAATCTGATGAAATTTTAATGACCTATGAACCCTATATAATCAAATAAAGTTATTACAATTATTTATTTTCTGGCGGGTTCGACGTCAAAGCATTTTTTTGGGGAAAAAGTGTTTGAAACAGGTAGAAAATGGCTTTAGCTGTTCAAGCATTCATCCTAAAACGAGATTTACAGTTATTTTCTAGCAATGGTAAATGCCAATTATCAGTCAACCAAATAGCTAAGCCTTTAAAGTGCAATGTAAATTTTATGAAAACCCCCAAAATTTTGATAATTTCTAAATATTACTCTCTTACCTTAATCTAATTCTTAATATCAAAAAGTTGATCATAGCATATATATATATATATAAAAGAGGAATGATCGAAGGCTATTATACGAGTCACGACCATCCCTAATGTGCCTAACAATTCAAGTATCATACCCTACACTCGGGGGGATTTGAATTCAAGACCAAAAGAGACATACAACTGACAAGCAGATGTCTGACTGACTGATTTAAGTATATATGCCTAATAATTCGAGTGTCACACCCTCCTTTGGGGGGAATCGAACCCCAACCAGAGGAGACGTGCAACTGACAAGCAGATGCTCGACCTATATATGTATATATATATGCTTACACCAAAATTGTAGTACTTTGATATTGAGTTGACACGCGTAGATACAAGAAAATTTTGAATTTATTTTATTCAGCTGAGTGGTAATTTGATAAATATAATAAAATTAAGCAGTAGTGCATAAATCTCCTCTAAAAAAAATGGCATTTAAACGCAAATCCTTGCTTTTGAATGTGTATCTTTTAAAAAATTGTGATGTACCCGAAGCCTCAGGTAAATCAATTTACCAAAAAAAGTTATCACCCCTGCTAATATTTTAAATATGAAATACACTTTCATATATAAGTTTATAAAACCGAAATTTTATAAATATAAATATCTAAATTTAAGTGTTCTTATTTAAAAGCATAAAAATTGTGTGTATATCAATTTCCCTTTTTTTATTTTATGTATTAACTTTAAAAGCCACGGCGAAAGAAATAAAAAAAGTTTAGTACTTTTTATGTATTAACTTTAAAAGCCACGGCGAAAGAAAAAAAAAAGTTACTAATCTCAACGAGATCTATATTGCAATATCCCCACTCGCTCAAAGTATTTCAGGATGGTAGGGCAGCATTATACACTACCGAAATCTTCAGGCGTCAGTAATAAAAATTAGAAGCATTTATTTTCTAGGACAAAGTGGGGGAAGATGACGATACAGTAAGAACTGAATCATACTTAGATAACTACAGAACAGTCAGAAACAATAATAATAATAATAATATAGCTGATATGAGGATCAAGCGAACAGCAACAATCTGTAACTAGACACTTCATGATAGATACCTGAAGCATAGCTTTTATATCCGATCAAAATTCCAGCCCTTATTTTCTGCCTGCCTCCAAGTTTTGCCATAGAAACACCTTTCTGAACGAATGAAATAATAGTATTATTCCCATAAAACAGAACTCTAGTCATATGTGATTTAAATGTTAATTATTACAGTAAAACAGAACTTATAGAGTTAAATATTCTAAGCTTGCACGAACTTGGATTCTGATCGCATAGCGAAGTGGATATCGCGTTAGACTCCGAATCTAAAGGTCGTGGGTTCAAATCCCACTGTGATCGTGAGGCAGAAAGATTTTTTTAAATTTTTTGCTCACATGAAGACGATAAAATTTAAACTTTTACAAGATAAGACGAGGTTAATTCTGCTGTGCGGCTGTCGTTTGTTTGCTGATCTTACATGCAGAATATTGCACGCAAATAAAATGCTTACTACTGCTTTGAACATTAGTGTAATATTATTTTGATAAATATCTTCGAATTTTCTCACATTAACTCTCAATTTAAGCTTTAAAACCTTATTTAGATTCTGTGTTAGTCATACTGCATTTTGAAAAATATTTGAACAAACTATGACTTTTGAAATACTGCAACAACAAATGTATGAAAGGTGGAACAAATTTTTACGGACTGATAGAATCAGATCAGCAAACCAGCTTAGTGAAACCCGGGAGAGTCCGTTAGAGAACTATAGAAACGAGAAGCATAGAGATGAAGAAAGGTAAGGTAGCCTGCTATGCTGCACTAATATTCATGTTGCTTAATCAAAACAGTAATAAAAGACACTATATATATATATCTCAAGAAAAAGTTAAGTGGTCCCCTGTTTGTTACAACAATATTAATATAAAGGAGTGCAGAATAACACTATAGTAACATTTTTTATTTGGATGATACGGTCGTTACCTCCCCTCAAGATCACAAACTGGCTCATTGATTGTTACCTTGGATCGAAGCTTGATGGACTGCTACTGAGAAAGACTCTTGGCAAGTATGTCTACTATCTGGACTCGTGAGGCAATGTGCTTAATCTGAATATCTTTCGAGATTAGGTGATACCTCACAAAGTGGTGATTGATACACTAAAATAATATATTGTTTTAAGCACATATTTTATGCTTATTTTTTGTGATATTGCACTTTAAAGAAGGGTATTTTTATGTTTTTGTTACAGACACATCATTTTTAGACATTTCGAGCAAAAATGACAGAAAGAACGAAATTTGGAATCAAAACGGTGAATTTTGGGATTCTGACACATGATGCGCCAGATCGGCGCATGATGTATCGTTTGACAGAGAACTGGTGCATGATGCGCCAGATCGACGCATGATGCATCGTTTGACAGAGAACTGGCGCATGATGCATTGTTTGACAGAGAACTGGCCATAGACGACTTTTTTGCAAATTAAGATAGTTCAAGATGAAATTTGCTCGAATTTTCAAAGGGACACTTATTCTTCACACCTAATGAAGTAATTTAATGCATCTAGACACTTTAGAAAGTTCTTTTTATGAAGGCATATGTCTCTTGGATCAAATGACACATCTTTTGAATTCAAAGGAGTTGAGTTTTGGAGGGTAATTTTGAATTTTTTTTCAAAGGAGGTAGCCCAAAATAAAAGAGAGGACTTCAAAGACAAGAAAGAGAGGAGAAAGAGAGAAATTCATAGAGTTGAAGAGGACGAAAAAGTGATGAGAAAAGGAGAGAGAGAAAGTTGGAGTGAGAGGTAAGAGGAAAGAAGAGAAGATCTTTTTTTTACGGTTGTAAGAGGAGAGGGAAGGTGAGAGATTTCTTCTTCATTACACTTTTAAGCGAGAATTGATTGAGATTGTAAAGAAAGGTTTGGAGAGAACTTTTAGGGATTTGCTCGGGAAGGATTGTGAGATAAGTTGTCTTTTATTTCTTCTGTTTTGTAAACTTATTTTTATATATGAAATCTATGTTTTGTCGTATCATTCTCATGAATTCTGAGCAGTCTTCTTTATCATTCTCTCTACTTTGAGATATGGTTGTGAAGAATTCATTTAGTTTTATTTGGTTTTAAATGTTAATAATTTGTGATCATTTGAACTCCGATTTTCAATAACTTTTCGATCTAACCAATTGAAAAATTAAAACTTGTTAAGAGATATCTGTTCTGAAAAGGGATATGATTTCTACAACATAGGGAGAATCACATTTAATTTCATGGAAGAGTATGTAATCCATGGGATTGGGTGCAAATGAATAGGGAAATATACTTTATTGGATGCAAAATTGGAGATTTTAAGGGGACAGATTAAAATCCCTAATTTGGTTTAGTTGATAGAAAACTAATGCGAGATTGTTAGCCCTCAGGTAAGGGAGTAGTGGGAGCTCTGGAGTGGCAACTGGTATTCTCCCAGCCTAACCACAGAATTAGAGATGAAACTCTAGATTAGTCAATGTTCTTTATAACACTTCGAAAAGGGTAAAGAATATAATTGCTGCTA